GATGGGGAACATTGGAGGACATAACCCACCACAATCAGTACCTATGAATCAAAAAAGTTGTATCATTCATATCAAACAAAAAGCATGTGGCTCAAATAGCATGATTGTACCTAAAAATAAATTACATAAAACATGTCTTCAAGAAAAAACCAACCTATAATGGAGAGAGATATGCAGAGTCTTTGGGCAATTACACACAATTATTTTTATTTATTTTTAAATTTTTGACAATTAAATTAGAGAAAGATCTAAATTATGCTATTTTTGCGATGATATGGCTGAATAGAGGTGAAATGTTCAATGTAATTCTATATCTAATATTATTAGAGAACAGAATTATAGGCGAACAACTCTAAGAGTTTTACTGTGTCATAAAACGGTCACCCTAGAGTTTTGTCACCAGATGACGACAACAAAACCAGTATCTATAATGTACCAGGATGGGTTTGGAGCCAAGAGAAAGAGAGGAGAAAAAGATAAATTACTTAAGCAGCAAAATAGTATTTAACACAACAGGTTGCAGATGCCTTTCCAGTATGTTTGCAATCTAACAAGATGAAGGTTCACATTTTCATGTACAAGAAATTTCTTCCTATGAGCGAAGATTTTCATTATTTACCTATTCACAAGGCCACCATATGACCAAAAAGAACAATCATGTATAGGAAATCTGCATGGAAGCTTGTATTACCATTCTTATCTTCGTCTTATCATTCTGAAATGATCATCTCATGAGCATAAGACTATTTGATTCCTTTTCCCGGTTGGGTATGGAGGGTCAATCCAAAGCAGGTCTTTTGGCGACTCCCTAGTAGAAGCTTTGCAAATGTCAGCTTCGGAGTTATCATAATCCTGCGATGGAAAATGAAGGTGGCGCAGATAGTTATCATAAATTTTGTTTTAGGAAAGATAAAGAGCACAGCTGTATGACATTGAGAAGAACAAGTTCAATGGAGGGAGCAAATGATTGACATCATAAATAACAAGGGCCTACAGATTAACTTCATGCAACAACCATCAGAAATGACAGTGGAATGAAATGAAATGTCAACAAAACAAAGATCATTTGCAAAGTCTAGTGCAATTTCTTGCCCAGGATTCACGGTAAACAATGTGTTATCTTGAATTCTACGTGTAAGCATCCAAAGTTGGTAAACGAATGCTCTGCCAGGATCAAAACTTAGAATGAAAGCACAAGTTTTTAATGTTCCCAACATCAAAAACTTGTCCCTTCATTTAAAGAGATTAAAGAGTATTACCAAAGGATCAACAACGAGAGTCTTTCATACCCAATTTACTAAAGTTCCTCACCCAGGTGTGGCTCAAAATGTGAAACATTGTAGATTTATGAAAGATGCACATGACAAACAATGTCCATGGAAGAAGACTTGCCTTCCTCACAACTACAGAACTGGCTGCTTGTGGCTTGAAGTCTGGCTGGAAATTAATAATTGAACAAAAACGTTCATTTCACATGACAAGTGATTCCAACAGAAACAAAACTAATCAACTTCAATCACAGCCATTTTGATTAAAATTTAACATAACCATCCAGGCATATTCCTTTTTCTCTCTTTATTTTATCAATGTCAGGGGACATGTACGTTCCAAAGGTTATATCTGGACTTACAAATTCCAGGTAGACTTCGAAGTACAAGAATATTGTACTTGAAAAAATATAGATATAAAGTCAAACTCTTAAAGAAGCGTTTAAAAAGATGCATTTGAGGTGGTTCGCATCGGACTCAGGATGTAAGCAGTTAGTTAGGTGGATGAAATAATCAGAACTACAGATCCGTTCAGCACCTTGGCTTACCATTCTTGTATTCAAATTTAAAGCGGGGAAATGGAGAGCCAACTTTCCTTGTTCCGTAATAGACAAATAACACTATTTTCAAACATGAGAAGCATCTATGGGAATACAATGATGAAAAAAACTCACCATTACCAACCTGAAGTACACAAAACACCAAAATATCAGATCTTAAGTTATTTAAAGGAATACTCAGGTTTGCACATTAAGATGGCAACGTACAATGCTTGTGCAACTAATTTGGGATCCCAAGAAAGCAAATTCTCAAGAAATTACATTTCTTCTAAATTTTAGAATAACAATGGATCACAAATAATCATGTCTTCAGAATTCAGCACAAGCAATACAACTGCTTCCCCACAGCTCAAGGAGGCAGAAAGGTCAAGAGTTGAACATATCATCTACCCTAATAGTAACGCAAGAATAAACCAACTGGTAAATTGACTTGTTCAACTGAAATTAGAATAGAAGAGAATGTTGTATGCTTCAGTATATGTAACTTGGAAACTTCTGATAAGGACTCGTGCATATTGCCGCTTTTAAACCCAATTTCAGCCAATCAATTCGTTATGATGTACATCACAGTGACGCAACAGAAGAGGACTGAAGAAGTTCCTAATCATTAGAACTAACCTCATAAAGTGGATGTCCATCCACCACTACCCAATAGATGTATCTCTGAGGGGGCTTCAGAGAATCTGTTTGTGCTCCATACTGTTAATTCAAGCTGCAAAAATAGAAGGGACCAAGTTCAGTAAATTGACTCGTCAAAATAAAATCTGATATGTATGTGCTAAGAAATTACAAACTATAGAATATGCTGATACGTATTGTAGAAATTGAAACTACATCCAATGTATGAGAGAAAAAAAAAGAGATTTACATTACATTTCATCAAGCTATAGTAACAAGATTACTTTAGCTGAAGATATAGAATCAATAGAATCAGAAGAAAATTTGCTGCAGACAGCATCAAAACTGACTTGATTTTTTTCCCATAAAATTTCAAAATACATTTGCAGGTTTATATTACAAACTTATTACTATATGTCATACATATGATAAAGTAGTTGGACGAGAACTCTTCCCCATGTCCACTATCTGCATGTGAACTAAATCCAGTTTCTGAAAACCAGGATTTCCAGTGAAGGTAGTTATGTTTCAAAACCAGGCTCTCAACTGAGTAGATGATGCTGAAATGTTCTTCTGCAAAAGTTGAAAGAAAATAATAGCTTCTGGGAGATGTAATGAAAGATCACTCTTCAAGTGATTTGCACTATGTAACACACACAGATTCAGCTAAACGAATTCCACATCATGCATGTCAAGATCCCTTGAATTAGCTATGACCTTAAGAATGTAAAAACCTGGTAGCGGAACATGCAATGCTGCCTGACTTTTGCTAATGTAGACCCCTGATACCAGCCCAAAACATGGGCAACTATACTATGGCACAAAGGGTGTCCTCCATTAGGTTGATAAAGCATTATGCTGAAACAGTAGTAAGAATTGGATTAAGATGTGCAGATTCAGTAGTCATACTGCAGCATATGCTGTGTACAAGATATGATTGGAAATTAGTTTATTTTTAATATAATCAGGCACTTCAACAGGCGGAAATGAGAAAGCAGAGGACATTTCCAATAGTTGGTGTAACTACACATCCGAGCATGTAAAGATATGTCAAGATACATCATATGGATTACGTGAGGTGTGTTCATATCACCTTCTTACCTCTGCCTTTCTGAATATTGTACTCGTGGATCCATGAAGGAACCATTATGTCACGGACAAAGTTCTAAACAGGATGTTTGATGTAATACTTATATATGTCCGTGTCTTTTGGTTTGTTCATGCTTTGCACATCATGTAGAGGGACGGTCGAAGACTTAAAAGCCTCATTTTAGTTGGGTTTGGTGGCCTTCTTAGGCTTGTAAATAAAGATTGTGTCATGTAGACACTTGTGAGAGATATTCGATCTATAGTGGACCATTTTGACCCTTTGTTGTGCAACTGTTCAGAGCTTGTAAAGTCTGTTTGTAATTTGCATTGTCTATGAAGTGTTTCCTGGAATCTTTGCTTGTGGATCTCGAGTGAGGCGCTTTCTCTAACCTGTTTTCTCTTTTGTAGATCCTAAGGGACTATAGGAGGTTTTGGGGAGGCTGACCTTTGCGGACGGGCACGCAAGGGTACCGTACGACTTAGGCAAAACCAGCTAAGTCCATGATAATTAGACAACAATATTGATGAAACCTGCTGCCACGTAAACAATAGCGTGCATTTTTGCTAGAATTCATGTTTGACCAATTATAACATGCAGCTCATCTACAAGTTATCTTAATAAAATTTATGTACACAACTACATTTACGTCCTCTTGATGATGAAGCCTATGACATTCGAGTCTTTTGGCACAAACCAAAGAGTTTATATGATGCCATTGTAAAGATAAGAGCTTAATTTTTTGATCTTTCAGATGTTCCCCAATTAAGCTGAAATTTTTACCCATATCTATTCACAACTAAGGATGTTAAACAACTAAGCTTGAAAGAGCATAACTGGATCCAATCTGTGAAGAGAGGAACGACTGTAGAGAGAATACTAACAAATAGGGCCGAGCATTATAGGCGTATAAGCACTCATTGGGACAACGACGCAAGAGAACAAGATCCGTTTTATTGCAAGAACCCTCCTTTTTTATATTCTACACCCCCATCAAAGGCAGAAAAAATCATCCTCACGACCTTTCTAAGGGTGGCGACCACTTCGAGTTGGTCAGAGAAAGGAATAGACGGGAGTACCCAGCAGGATATGGTGCCGTTCCGGCTCCTGGCGTTGCCGACGATGGAGAGGAGGCGGTCGGCGTCAATCTCGCCGAGGTAATTGACGACGATGTTGGCAATATTACGGCACGATTTCTCGTAGCAGAGGGCCAGAGAGACATTGGGAGCCGAAGCCGAAGCGGCGGCGCTGTAAGAAGAGAATGCGGGGAAAAGAATCCCAGAAGAACAAGATGGAAGGAGCACGATCGAGATAGGAGGCGATCGACCAGACGAGAAGAATGACTGGCTCTCTCTCTCTCTCTCTCTGCCCAAGTTAATGGGCTAAAACGGCCCAAAGTTGGGCCTCTGTTTGGGCTCAAAAGCCCTATGAGACTATTCAACAAAACGTGTTCAGGATTCAGTAAGCTTAAGAGCTACTCTGACAGATTGAAGCAGTACAAAGACTCAAACGACTGTTACTTATTGCGGAAGCTTAGACTCTTGTGATGTGTACTAAGTTCTTCACCATGGAAGATCATTGGGATAGCTCAGGAACTCCTCGTAGAACTTGGATACCAATTCCCTCTCTTGTTCCAAGATGGCATCCACGAAAGAACTCGACCCATAACACGCTCCTGCGCGATGGCTCGTCCCTTCATCCACCGCAGCATTATGCTTGGCAGCAACGTCGCTCCATGTTACCACTTCTTTGGCCTTGTTCTTAGCATAAGCATCGTCATCGTCCTCGATGAGGAAATCGGTCCACTTGAACTCCGGAGACGAAGGTGGTTGCGTCGCTTTGGGCGTCGTCGCTGCCGTCGAGGAGGAGGAGGCTTCGCTAGGCGAGAAATATGTTGGTATCGGGCTTCCAACTTGGGTTTGGGCGAAGAGGTTGAGGTTGGGCGACGAGCTGCTCCCGGAAGCGGAGTTTACGGTCGGCGCAGGTCGCGAGAGGAAGACGCTCCTGAGGTCGCGGTTAAGGCAGCCGATTCGGGCTCCGGCGGTGGCCGGTTTGTACCGAAAGTTACTGTTGAATCTGCTTGCGGCGGCGGCGGCGGTTTCATGTTGCAGGTGTTCGATGCTCTGAATGATCTCGGAGATAGGACGGTGGGTGACGGGGTCGATCCCTTTCTGGCACAGCTTCTTGCTGAGCTTGGTGTTCCAGTAGTTCTTCACGTCGTTGTCGGTGCGGCCGGGAAGTTGGTTTGCTATTATAGACCACCTGCGTTGCAGCACTCATGCAATGAGCTCCCAAGCCACAAGCATGAAGCATCTCTCTCTCTCTCTCTCTCTCTCTCTCTCTCTCTCTCTCTCTCTCTCTCTCTCTCTCCATGCTTTGTTTGTTATGCCATAAGTCATCAAGTTTTCCTGCTACCCATAGTTCTGATTACCTACAAAGAAACCTCAAGTGTTTTTAGTCTCCTGAGTGACCAAAGTCTAAGAAAAGGACATAGATTTGATCCACATAAGATTTACTTCAGTTCTACATATATCTCGGTGTGGGAGTACAGTTTGGACATCATCCAGAAAGGGAGCATAACTTGCTAGAATTAATATAATCATATCCCATATGCCATATCTTCCAATGCCCACAGCTTCTCATTTCTTTCCATGCCTAACATTTGAACTCATTCTTTTTCTGACAAGATATATCAATTCATGTCTTGCCTATCCTAAGGGTGCACAAGAATGCTATGAATTGAGGTTGAAACACTGTAAATTCCATGTTTAGATGCATGGCTAAGTTAATACCAACATAGCAACTGATGATAAAGAACACTATACCTGCTTCCTATTGTCGCATGGAGGGCTACAATTCGCTCTTCTTCTTCAAGAGTGAAGCCCTCGTGCTTGAGGTTAGGCCTCAAATAATTCGTCCACCGCAGTCTACAGCTCTTGCCACATCTCTTCAATCCTGCAGACCGTGGCTCGCACACCACCAGAACAATTAAATGAAAGAGAGAAAAGGAAGCATTACTGCTAGCTCATGCACAAACTGTCTCATTATTTGCATGTAATTACACCTGCTTTTTTTGGAACAGTTGTCCAGTTCCCAGTTCCATGGGTGGAGGTATATGCAAGTAGCTTCGCGTCTTCCTCAGCTGTCCAAAGTCCCCTCTTCACCGTTGATTTATCGCAGCATGGAGGCCTTCCCATCTCTCCTAACACAGCATTAATAGATATAGGAAGGCATAGCCATGAGGGAGGGAGAAAGAGAGGTGTACTGATGGTGATGTAAGTCCAGGCCTGTTTGCAAGTAGCCTGTAAGCAAGAGATGGGTGTGAGGAGAGGATATATAGCAAGTCAGGTGACGAGTTTAAACATATTAACAAGAGGGAGGCAAGAAATGCATGGGATTCCCCCTCAATTATCTAATGACGGCATGATTATTGTCATCTCCCCAGAAACCATTTGAGGTGGAAATTAATAAGCTTAGGGTTTCAATCTCCGCACTTCATTCCACCAGAAAAAGATGGAAATGATAGGGAGAAGCATGTCATGTCCAGTGTGGTGGAATATTCTATTAATTTTTGTAGGTTTTATTGAGAAAAAAAGGAAAGAGAAAATGACAATGCTGTGATTTGTGATGATATATATATGTTTCACTTGCATGAGTTTGTCATGAAACTTTCACAACAAAAATGCCTTGGCCATAGGCTTTGTGGGGAGATAGCTGATGTGTTAATTGATATAGCATATAGTGGCAAAGTTACAGCATAATCTTATCTAAGAAGAGATAAATATCAAGAATTAAAAGGTTTTCATTGTGGTTTTGCTTTGTTCATGTGGATAATCTGTATGAAACCATTTACATGGAATCCACTTAGTTTCCGATCATCCTATTAGTTTTTGTTTCGGATTATATTCTAAGCAGATGTTGAAGCAATCCTTCCCTCACAAAATTCTTGAGCCATATCGATCTGAACCCCAATTCAAAACTTGAGAACTTGAAGTTGGAACATGAATAGATGCTCAGGGCATATATAAGAAATCAAACCATTGATATATTATCCATATTAACATGAAAAAGATGTTTAGCCAAGTGTTCTTTTCAAGTGTATAATTGATCGCAAAAATTCTTCCTTTTAGAAGCATGGAAGGATGATTAGCCGAGTGTTCTTTCTTTTTATTCTCGGATCATATGGATCAAGCGACCTTTCAATCATGAGCAGAAGAGGAAAGTCCATGACAAGCTGCCTAAACAATAGCAACTTTTGGAAGATATGTAGATGTTCACTGAGTGCTTGTCATGATGATATCTGTGATTTCTTCTCGATAAATGCTTATCGATTACGAAAATTAACGCCCATGTAAAGATTTGTAGTCGATTAATCCAAACCACTGCACAATGTCTGCATGATATCTTTCTCTCTAAGCAAGAGAAAGATGTCTGTTTTCCCTCCTCCTCCCTAGTGCTTAGAGCTGAAATACATTAAAGAGCACAGATTTGAAAGCAAGGCATTTACAGCAGCAACACCATGATCATAATATTTTAGTGCAGAGGTTGATGACAGGGGACAGAACATGACAAGAAGAGTGCTCTTGAAGGCTGTCATGTGAGAGCATTAAATGCGAGGACTTGGGCAACAACAGTAGCTTGTGATTTCAACCTTCAGCAGTTGCATGTGTGATATAATAATAATACCTTTACATGCATCAGTTCCATGTTGGATCTCACTAAGATGCTCTCATCTGCTTCTGTTTACTTCCTCATTAATCAAAACATAGTTTATTTTCTTGTCCAGATCTGCTGATGCTGACAATTAACTTCAAATCATATTTCCACAGTTTTATTTCTGCATTAAAATATGTACTGTCAGTTGTATTATATACATAAATATGAAAAAGATGATCCTAAAACAACAACATCAAATTCACAACTCATTGTTACTAGAAAATATAGGTCTGTCAGCAATTGATCATCTGCAAGCTACTTATGATAGGGTCAGAACAGCTAATTCTAATGCCTAACAAAGACCTACCAAAACATCAGTACTACCTTTTCCTGCTTTGTAAGGAAACTTCTGAGGAACTTACTGGAAAATTTTATCATATCTTTCTGAGAAGTTATGAAGTTCCATGTACAAATCATAAAGCTGCAAAGTTATATTCCATCAAGTGTAGGGTTTCACTCAAAAGAAAGAAGAACATGATGGCTATGGCCAGCCGCACGCTCCTGATCTTCTCAGATGATACAACAACGAGAAGCTTGTACAATTGGATTATATACTGCTTTGTTAGATCCTTCAGGTCGACTGCTCATCAGTTTGCCTCTTAATTCAGGAGAGTCACGAGGTGCGGCAATGTTGTTTGGTATCAATCCGTAGTATACTGTCTGTGGATTTCATCCAATAACTTCACACTCAGTCCTTTAAATGAATTGTACGTAATGAAGCACCACCATCAGTTGTTGTGGAGAGGATTAATGCATGGACTTGTAGCGAGAGGCGTAGACTTTGGGCACGTGAATGTCTGCCAACAAACATTCACGTCGAGCCTTCTCTCTCTCTCTCTCTCTCTCTCTCTCTATGGAGGAGACTCCTAGGGTTAGGGTTCTTTCTGCATCGGTTGGACGCTGTCATTAATTAAGATTTCCATCTCTCAATCTACGTGAGAACAGATTAGAGAAAACAACGTGCTGCTGCATGGATTTGATTTATTTATGCTTTTGATTCTCTCTTTCTTCTCGATTGGTCTCGCAGCAACTTCTATCATGTCCTTGTATCTTTTTCCCAAGGTTCCTCTTGCAAAGTATGTCTGTAGCAACACACCAAGCAACTCATTCAAATCCTGTAACAATCAAGCAGGATCTTATCGACGAACGTATTCCAAAACATATTTCAATCAGCTAAACATATTCCATTACTAGCTGGAGACACATCCTACGCCAACAAAATTTTTTGGCTTACACTGTAGCAAACTTTGTAAGGCAACAGGCTGCTAATGTTTCCTGGATAGACAATTCACCTCCAAATACCCTATATGAACATTTGATGATCTAAAAGCGATCATTTTTCTTTAACAAAACACGCATATATAAACCCCAGTTTGATGTTTGATGAAGAAAAAATATTCAATAATTAGGATGATATTTAGCTCATGAACAAACAGAGCTTGAAGACTAATCAAAATGTTGTTTTAGTGCCTCCAGCATCTGAACTAATCAAATTCAAGAGGAATTGAGCTATATCAAACTAGCTCAGTACTGTTTTCTTCTTCTCTTCTTTGTTCTGTGTTCTTTAGGTTACTGTCTATATTAGTGTATCTTTGACGGCATGTGTAACATGTAAAGTGTGCAAGGAAATCACATGCTCACATGTTTCAAGGACAGGCATAGTCACTGCAGCATAATTTTAAACCTGGTTGATGAAACTTGACTCAATGGTTGAGTTAAAACTAAGATTCCTAATGATGAATCCTATGTTTTTACCAATAAATATGGCTGTCTCCTCTATCACTGTAGTAATCAGTGACAAAGCTTCATTGCTTGGATTTTACTGCTATAAATAGGCACACTCACTTGCATTAGATACCGCAGCTTTCATCTCCCTCCAGATCTCCTTGTGCAATTGGCCTGAGAAGAGAACAATGGAAGGGAACTCACCTTGTGCCTCATGCAAGCTGCTACGGAGACGCTGCACCAAGGACTGCATCTTTGCCCCCTACTTCCCCTCTGATGACCCTCACAAGTTCTCGATCGTTCACAGGATCTTCGGCGCTAGCAACGTTAGCAAGATGCTGCAGGTCCTGATCATATGACTGCATGTAGATTCTTCATGCATTAGCTGATGATTTTGCTCGATTACTTTTGGAATGAGTGCAGGAGCTGCCGGTTCATCAACGAGCAGATGCCGTGAGCAGCCTGGTCTATGAGGCGACAGCGAGGACGAAGGATCCAGTTTATGGATGTGTTGGGGCCATCTCTTACCTGCAGAACCAGGTGTCTCAGCTGCAGATGCAGCTCGCAGTGGCCCAGACTGAGATCCTTTGTGCTCAGATGCAGCAGGAGCCCCCCATGGCTGAGCAGCAGGTAGAGGCTTATGACAATAACCTCACTGGGATGCCTCAGCTGATGAACAATGCCTCCTCTAGCAATCTAGCTCAGGATCAGCTCAAGAGAGAGTTTCTTTGGACATGAGACTTGTTTCCACTTCCAATTGCTTGTTGCTTGTTTTGCCATGAAAGAGGTTGAGATATTCTTGACAGAGAATCTTTCAGATGATTGCTTGAAGGAAGTGCCACTCTTTCAGCATGTGAGATATGTGCTTTTCCTTCTTGCACAAAGAACTGCCTGCCATTAATTTTAATGAGTTAGCTTGGTGGAGTGCTATACTTATCTACTCCCAATGTATCTTCACACATGTATGGTGAGCATGGGGGAACTTAAAGAAGGAACACCAAAGCTGTTCTTAAGCTTATAGGAGGATCAATTAATAACAATGTGGATCTTAGAGGGAAGATAAGTATATAGTTTTTCCCACCTAAATGTTGTTTGTATGATCAATGAATTCTCAACAGTGTGGGCTTTCATCCTCACCACATTTTCTTATAAATCTTTTCCCACCAAACGAACTGCACTATTCCTCACAGCAACGAAGAGATAGAACTGGGCCAAAGCTAGAATACTTACTACTGAGATCAGACAAAAGCATGGCCTGAAAGCCCTTATTCTTAAGCAAATACTTAATAGGGATTGATGCATGGATGGAGGAATTCAAACCGATAAGCCGATGAAACAAAGCTCATCAACATTGAACCTACAGATTGATTGAGAAAGAATCCATGTAAGATGAAGCACTTATGTTGATGTTGTCGTCTCCACATTTTCCAAGATGTTGACTCGAACATATCTTGTGTTGGTTTTTTATATTGAGATTGGCAAATACAACACTCGTACAAGTTCTTGGGGCTTCGTGTGGGTTGAATCACCCATGACATGTTCTGGGGCAGCAACGTGGTCCCATGGCACGACGGATGGGACCCATACACGTGGCCGCGTTTTATAGGTCGGACAGACCTGCTACGAGGACATATCATGTAATATCGTGACACAGCAGATGTCTTTTCTCCTTTCGGCGATTGACCGTTGGATTTGGCTAGTGCCACGCGTACGTATCTCGTTTCTCTTGATCTACTATATAATAGCTGGACCGTGACCATTTGGGCGGACGCCGAACTCTTCGCAAATTCGCCTTCGCCTCCGGACTCTCGTCTCCCACTGTCTCGATTCGATTCGATTCGATCCTTCCTCTCCCCTTCGAATCGGACGCGAGAAAGCGCGAAGGACCATGTCGAGATCCAGAGTCAGACGCGGGGAATTACCCCCGCCGCAAGAGGTTTGGCTGAGATGCTCCTGTTCTCCTCTTCTTGTTCTCCCTCTTCTCCGTGCCACAAAGCAGACTTCGAGCAGTTTTCTCTTCTTTTCTTACGATTCCTCTGATTTTGAAACAAGAACCCGGTCCAAGATCTTAATCTTCTCGAATAAGAGAAAAAAAGAAAGCGAATCTAGATGGAAATGATTACAACTTTGAGGTATAAAAGGGAAATCTTATTGTTTAAAGGGTCGTCAAACCCAAGATTTATGGAGATTCTTTATATTGAATGTTCCAATCAAGAAATTTTGTCGCAGAACATTATAGTTTTGAGGGATAAGTAGGTCATCTTGTCGTGTCCAGGGTTGGGTTACTGAAGATTGCAGGAGATTTAATATTTCAAGTTTGATTTTGAGGTGGAAGTAGGAAATCTTACCATTGCTAGGGCCGATAACTGAAGATGGCCCGAGACTCTTGATCTTGAACTCGCTTAACTAACTTTTTCCTTTTTATGATAGCCTGCTTGAGATTGCTCGATCCTGTTAACGAATAATATTGATTCATTATGCTGGTATCTTTTGTTCTAAGATTCTGTTTATAAATTTTTTGGTCGTAGTGCAGACGTTTATATGTTTAAGCTGTATATGTACTTGCAGACCATAGATAAGTTGGAGAAGATGGTAGATGCATGTAATTTCTATGAAGCTCAGCAGATGTACAAGTCCTTGAGTGCAAGGTGTGGATATGTCTCAGTTACATTAGACGTTTTTTTGTCTATCCTTGCAAGTCATCATTGAAGTGGCTTTCATAGTTAGTGGTGATTTTGAAGTTCACAAGTTCGTCATATGAACATACTTGTAAAGTTCATTGATCTACTAGTTTCTTGTAGTTTAATTGTTTTAATGGTCGATTTTTCAGAGAAATAATATTTGGCATCTATCTCTTTTTTTCCTTCAATTTTCTTTTACGGGATGCATAAGTTAATTTTATGTATTGAAGGGAGGCTAAAAATATTGAGAATTTTAGAAGATATACGGTAACCGAGGAAAGATAAAGAAAGATGTAAGTTAGGCAAACCTTGATAGTGTATATAATAATCCAAATACTAAGTATGGGGAAAAAATATTTATTGAATTAAAGAAAATGAAAAGTTGTATAAAGGAAGATTAGAAATTTATTTTATGTTAGATGTATAAAGGATGAAGATAAAAAGTTGCTTATTAATGATATGGAGATTAAAGAAAATGATTATTTTATTTTTATAAATTATTTAATGAAACATTCTATGATAAATTTACTTTAGAGAAAAAATAATGTGAAATTTAGATTTCTTATATTTATTCGTAAATTTAAAAAAATGCAGTATAGGAAGCTTTAAAGGTGATGATATTAGATAAGAGAATATCAACTGATGACATCTCTATTGAGGTTTGAAAGAGTTTAAGAGATTAAGGGCTATATTTGTTGATTAATTTATTTAATAAAATTTTGAGTCAAAATAAGTCTAATGATTGAAGAGTTCTTCGGTACCAATTTATGAAAACAAAATTTTAAATTGTTGAATTATATAGGAATTCAATGAGTCAACTTATGGAAAACTGAAAAATGATGATTAATTGCAGAATAAGATGAAAATTAAGTATTTTAGAATTAATTTGATCTTATGCCTGGAAGGTTAACAATGATGGTATTTAGTTATTGAGACAACTAATGAAGAAAATATAGTGAAAAAAAGAGATATTTGCTTATAAGAGATATTTTCATTGACTTAAAAAACTTATTATAGATTTTATTAGGGTGAATTTTATAAAAGAAAGAAGAAACTAATAATTTTGTTGATGAATATATATATATATATATATATATATATATATATATATATATATACACACACACACACACACACACACACAC